ATGTTGTAACGGAAATACATTAAGTGCGCGTAAATTCTACATTACCTTACCTACACAAATAAAACTAGTTGTGTCAGCACGTCGATTATTTAGTTATTTTGGAGAGGCAAATTATTTTTTGCTAACCTTTTTAAATACGTCTAGTTTACGCGAGTAGTACACATTTAAATAAAACACTTTAAGGTTAAAACGCGATATACAGTCTCCCCGTGACCACGCCTGCTCCAAACCATCGAAACGTCGGGCCGAAGTTAAAAATCATTTTCAAATAAGTTAAACTAATATATCGCGTTTTAAACCGTTAAAGTGTTTTATTTAAACCTCGTCTTTATGAATTATAGCTGTTGCCCACGTCGTTCGCGTCCCGTAAAAAAGAAAGAAAGAAATAGTGTCGGGATTTTCTTGATTTGTTAAAGGAGAATAATTCTTTCCTATATTTTTGGGTATCTTAACCTCCCACGGGCACCTATTAGTCACAGCTTGTACAAAAATTTTACCGGTTTAAAACGTAAGAAATATTAGTTTAACTTATTTTTATTCACAATCTGGCGTTTCTCGATGTTATTGAAATCTATTCGTGTAGGTAATCTACAAAAATATTGGATATATTATTAAAAACTAATATATTTTATACTATACCCTAAGATGCTATGTTACGAAGAGATTGTCATACATTTCAAAATGAAATGGGCCATACCTACGTACAGAGAGCATTGTCCGCCTGTTAAAAGTCACCTTTGGCCCAATCTAATTGCCACGAGTGGATAATAACTGCAATGAAAGAACTCTGACTCGCAAATGCCGGAAGATCTCACTATGAGAAAACTAATTGGTCCAGGACTTCCAAATGTATATGTGGGACTCCTGTATTACGTGTGTATGAAGTATCATAAATTACATCTATGATTCACTATCATTATCGTGTTAGCTGTCTCACTGGTGGAAAATGTATTTTTCCCAGTTATATATAAACCGACTGTTACAATATAAAAGGATTTTAAATTTAGAATTATGTATATTAAATAAGTAAAGAAAAATACAATATTTACTAAAAATTTATGATGTTAACAGTTATGTAGATAAGTTTTTAATATGTAAACATACAACAAAGAAAAAAATTATGTCAGAGTCATGATTTGTAAAAATTATAGTAAGTAAATATAATAATTCTTGGGGATATATATTAGTCTTGGGGAGAGCATCAAACCGGTTCATCAGCCACATCTTAGATGTCCACTACTAAGTAGACTTGGACGAATTGTTTGTAAGTAAAAAAGAGGTACAAAGTGCTTAGCATTGATTTTTTTATTCAAAATAGCATTGAACAGTTATGCTGCATTGTGCTATCATGTGCCGTTCATAAAAATTCGGAAAATTATTAAAAACTATTTTTTCTGAATATACATTTATCCAAAAAAATAGATATTAACACGTGTAATAGTTAAAATTTGATTGTTTAAAGTTATAAACATCAAAATATAGTAAGGTACGTAGACATTTATTTTGGCCTACAGAAGTAATAAGCTTAAGAGTGAAGGGCTTGTTGGTGTAATGGTAGATATAAACAGCTAATAATCAACAGGCTGTGGGTTCGATCCGCACCTGTCCACCTTATTTCTAATTTTTCTGAAACATGTTGGACTTTGTCTGGAAACCTGAATATTTAATGGGTGGTAGGAATATCGACATTCCGTCCGGGTCACGAACCACTGTCCACAGATGAAAAAGCCGTGATGTTTAAACACGTTTCGGATTCAGTCTGTGGATTTCCGAATATCCAAAGCCAAAATAGGTCGACGGCGCATCTTGTTTAGATGCTATAGGCTGAGGTATTTGACTTATCATAAATTGAACCCCACGCTTATCCGATCTTCTAAAAAAAAGGGGCAATGGTAGACTTGTAATTGATATAAGAAGCCTATTTCCGAGATGAATATTAAAAACATCCTATATTACCATACATAACGCTTTCAAGACGCGCCGGAACGTTAAAGCAAACAAACGTGAATAACGTTCACGTTATGATTGAGTAACAAGATGCTAATTATTGCACGTGGCCCCGCCTGCAAACAGACAGCTGTAAACATATGTATGGTCAGCGAAAACATATTTAATTTCTTAATCATGATTTGCTGAATGAAAAGTACATAAGCTTATACCTGTATATTATAACGCGTTAAGTGGTTCTAAATTCAAACTTTTATAATAATACACAATATAAACATAACGTTAATATACGTTAGAATCCAAGTAACAATGTGAAATATTCTCGTTTCAATCAGCTTAATATTGTTTTATTGATTTAAGATATTTTTGTAATATGTGTTCTTAGAAATTAATTAACTTGTGCTTTTAAGTGTTTCTTTCAATATTTACGTACCCATAATTGATAAAGTCCTGTTTGCAATCAATTTTCTGTGTATTTTTGCTATCGTTACCTCCATATTATCTGAGGTAAGAATAAGAAAGTTTATAATAATCATATTTATAACCAACCAAATTGGATTAAGAGGACACGCGATATGGGTTAAGTATTCAATGAATCATCCATAATTTATGTTTCCGCGAATATCTATACAGAGAAAAAGCAACACAATGCTTACTTAATTTGTGCAGATATTAAAGCGTGCAAACTCGAAGTTACGAAGATGGCGTTTAAATTTTAAAGTCCAGTGCGAAATGCCCACTGCGCCACTGAAATTTAGAACAATGAAGCGTTATTAAAAATTGCGAAACACGCCACCAAAGGACCAGCTGTGAGTGCAGTAAAAAGCAGTAATCTCGCAAAAATCAACTGACTGGACACCATTCATCCTTTGATATAGCGGCGAAATTATCACTGTTCTACACTCGAAAATTCCTGTTAAAAATTATGAAATATTCGCTTTTAATTTCTACATTTATTTCAATTAACTTAGGCTCAAAATTATGCTAGCTGCTGTGAACCGCAGAGGACCGTCTCTTGGCTCCATCATCACATCTACTACAAACTTTAATTAAATTGTAGTCTTAAAGGGCTAAATTAGAAACATACAAACGTTTATCATCACACTCTGATTTCCTTATAATAGTAATATTATCTTGGATTTTTGGATATACATTAACTGTTTTCAAACAAAATAGTAATCACATTCTGTCTATAGTTTACGCGAGTAGTAGTTAAGTTTAACGGTTTAAAACGCGATATAATATATCGCGTTAAAGTTGTTTTATTTAAAAAATAGTAATCATCAAAATTAGTTGATGAAGAACGAAGATATGTACGAGTAAACAAACAACAAAAATATTGTATGCGTTTTGAATTGAAAAATATATTTTTTTGGATTCGGATTAAAAACGTAACGCGGTCGGTGCGTTCGATTGAAATTACATCGCGCAGTGCAACAGCACGCTGGGGTCGTGAGTTCGAGTCCCAGCCAAATTAGGCAAAAAACGTATCTTGTTGAGATATTATACCAACAAGTCAACTTCATGCTTGTCTATTCTCCTCTATCATAAAACAAGATCTATTCGCCCAAACTTGCCTAAACGCATTAGATGGAATCGTATAACGAGAGCTACGCAACGAGAGAAACCGTTAGACCAACAAACATCAGTCAAACTCTTTGATGTGAGTTAATAAAGTGGCTACCTATTGATTCTCTTTGAACCGCATTCGGGTTTGTTTAGAAGATATTGGCCTTTATATATAACATTCGGTATATTTTATATTCTTCACGAGCATCGTATTGATCGGCGATTTATTATCTAGGTATCTAAATACTGACTATAGTCTCCGCGAGTAGTACACATTAAAGTAAAATACTGTTTAAAACACAAAATATATAAGTAAATTGATTTTAAATAAGGCCTAATGTTTTGAATTCATTCAAATCAAATCTGCTAAGGTTGTTGTGGTATTGTGTATTCTTCGGTAACTAGTATCTCAAAAGTTAAAATAAATTAAACATATTAAGTTCAATAAATTTCGCGTTTATCGTTTCTAAAATGTGAAATTTAATCGGGACAAAATCCAAAACAAAAAAGTAATTATTTCTGATAGGAATTTTAATCCCAATGCCTTTTCGGTTAATGTAAGAACGTTTTTAAACAATTTGACATCGATATATCTATATATTATCGTTATCATAAATATTTAATAACAGTCTAGAAATTATCGCGTCACATTTATTTTTAATCAGATATGATTAAAACAATTTAATATTATGCTTGTTAAATTGGATACACTTCATTTGTTTCAGCTGGAGTAGATCTGATAAGCACTATTTGTAGACATGAATGTACTACTAGCGCAACCCGATGTTTTAATCATATAATATAGTCTTCACGAAACAATGGCTAAATTAAATAAAAAAAGAGCCTAATCGTTATTTATAATAGAGAAGGACAGACTAGCTTCACTTTATAATATCTTGACAAGATGCTGTTGGCCTATTTTGGCTTTGGATATTCGGAAATCGACAGACTGAAACGAAAACGCGATGAAATTTCACAGCATTTTCGTCTGTGGAGGGTTCTTCATACCCGGACGGATTTATGGTATACGTACCACCCCCTTAATATCCAAATTTTCAGACGAATCCAACATAATTCAGAACAATTACAAGTTGATTAGACACATATTGGACCCGATGGCAATTGAAACCGCGACCCGTCGATTATTAACCATACATTGCTACAATAAAACCAACGAGCCTGACAAAATGATCTATACTCTACGCGGACAAAGTCGCTGGCACAGCTAGTATTAGAATATAGCCTTATGTATCAATCATTAGGCCATACATTATGCTTTTATAGGCCATGTGTGTTCTTTTCATTAGCGATCTGATTGAATATTGGCTAAATTCCGCACATAGCTTTCCTCCTTGTGATCGACGCGTAAGTAAATATTTGCGTTGTACGACATTAATTTATAGTCTCCATCACAAATAGTCTAAATAACTACGTACTAAAAGCAGAAATAAAAGCCATGATGGTATATACAATTTATTTCTTGTCTATAAGACTATACTTCTATTCACTTTGTTGCTTAAATATGTGTATTTTGTACAGTGAAATTTCAGATCACCTAATGTCGTTGCTTCAGCGACTGCTTCATTTGGCGGGTCTGAAAAAAAATCAGTATTCATTTTACTAATAAAAACAAGACATTACCTGAACTATAAATTGAAATTAGTGTGGAATACTGTGTGTAGTTTACGAGACAGAAATCCGCGTTAGTTTAAATAAAACACTTAAACGGTTTAAAACGCGATTTATATTAGTTAAATTTTTTAAACTATTTGAAACGTCGGAGTAAAATAATTTTCAAATAAGTTTAACTAATGTATATTTACCTTTTAAAAGGTTAAAGTGTTTTATTGAAACTAACGCGGATTTTTTAATTCACCTCTTTCTTATAAAATCTTCTTTACAACAACTGGTATATAAAAATCTACGTAATAAAACCCTTACCAATATTATTCCAAACACTAGGCGGAAAGACGGGTAGTTGTGAAAATACATAGACGAGTTTACAGTCCCGCTTTAAACCTTGTTTTATTGCACCGTCGACTTTGCTCAACTCTAAGCGATACCAGCTAGCGGATTTCCTGTTGACATTCATATGATATATGCATTGAGGAAGAAGAAAAATAAAGGATACCAAAAAGCCATCTTTTGCAAGAACGTTGTACTGCGTGTAATAGCAGCGCTAATAGTTCTTTCATAATGCAACAGATGGCAGCGCTTTAAATTTATACACAGGAACTAGATCAACGGATTTTTACAATTTTTTCAAGTTACTAATTTTGTTTTGGAGCTAAGACTTTATTGTAAAGTGTTAGGTTCATTTTGTTAAGAGAGGACTGTCCAAATGCTTTTAGAACCAAAAAAAATCAAAATCATAATCGCAGTAATTATGTCCACTTTATGCTTTAAAGGACAGTTTTGTGGCTAACATTGAAAGCTTAAGTAATAGGTAACAAAGTTATTATTGTCTTCATAGTGTATTTTTCGGTTGTAGTATGGTGAAGTACTTTTTCTTATAAATTTTCTATTATACGTTTTGAATATGTAATAATGTTGACTTACTTCAAATGATCTTGTACTGTACTATTAGCTATAGGAATATTGATTTTGATAACTGGATCATTCATCAGTTGACCAGCTGTTTTTATTGGGGATTTATCAGACACATAAACCTCCAGAAGACGTGATGCCATTGATTTTAGTTGAACTGAAATATAATAGTTAGTCAGAGTTTAGTTAGACTAAAATATGATAGTTAGCCAGAGTTTAGATGACCGCCTCTGTACCCAAATGATGGACGTATTGCCCAACATTGCTTTAAATGCGCTAAGCGCGAAATGTCCTGAGTTTCTGGAGAAACAATAGATTGTCTAATTTGTGCAGGGTGCAGAAGTCTGATCACCTATTTGCTTGTAAAGTAAAGATCAGTGAAATAGACACAGAGATGTGTTCACCAAGGGAAAACAAGGACTTTTTGTCACAGAGTTTAAGTGGACTAAAAAACAGTTAGTTGAAGGCTATTAACAGATTAAAGTATATCCTCACCGAAATCAGCCCGAAGACAAGTTTCAGCTCGGTATAAATGTTCCAAACATACATGAACTTGCGTGTATCTCATTAGAAGATTTTTCCAGGGGCTTATATCTATTTCATCTGGTATAAGAGGGACCTGTAGAATTATTTTCCTACCTTAATAAAAATATTTTTATCAAAACTAGGACAGTTTGTTATTTATATTTCATTATATTTTTGGATCAGTATAATTAATCAACATATCTGACAATTAAGTATATTAATTAATTTATTGTGATCAGTATTATTATGTTTTACACCAGCCATAGTTGATGGAAGTATCTTATGAACTAATATAATTCTCGTTTTAAACAGTTGATTTATTTAATGTGTTCATGCAAGTAAGCAAAAGATAAAAAAAATTATTACATTATTTCAATTGTTAGATACACCTACCTCATTAGCATCTCTCTTATCAGTCACAAGACCATGCTTTTTCAAGGAGACAAAATCATCGACAGTTAAATCATTGGTGTCCTCAACACAGAATGATTCTGAATCAAGTCGTATAGAATTTTCGGTTGTTCCATAGTTCTCGAAGGGATTTAGTGTGAAGTCACCTCCCATACTCATGTCTTGGATAGTCTGATTTATTTGTTCTATAGTTTCTTTGGACCTAGAAACAAAAAAACATAAAATTTAGGAATGGAATATATGATTTTTCTCAACCTTTTACAATAGTCTTATTGAACATTATAATTTGTCATAGAATTAATTATATGAATCTAGAAAAAAGATATAGTCTTGAAGATGGAAAAATATTAAAATTAAATTATGTTTTAAAGTATATTTATGAGGCTTTCACGACCAACATTCAACATATCATTGTTTTTTGGGTTGTACGGCCGACGTAAGCAGAAGAGGTTCTCGAAGTTATGTCATCACGAGTGGAAGGCATCATTAGTAGATGTTGTTAGCTTCTCGATAGCTGGAAGAAATATAACCTCTTCTCGCTTTCGTCAGCCATCTAGCCCGAATACAATGATATAATGGAAAAATATTACCTAGCATCATTATTCCAAACACCTGCCAGAAAAAAGGAATGTTCCAATAGTGACATTATTCGAGTATATTCCCATGTGGTCTTCTCAAATCCCACTTGAGCGACCAAGGACAATGCTTGGGGCGGACTTGATCGAAGATTCTTAAGAACTTTAGAGGTTTGCGAGTGACCCCTTGATAGTTTGAGAACTAATTTTGATAATATTGAGTTGTTGTTAACATCAATCTGAAAAGTATGCTCAGCTTATTGTAACCCAAAAAAAAATATATATATTTAAGTTGTTAAAAATTAAGTTTCTAATATTATGGAGACATACTTACAAATGGCCTTATTTTTCCTGATGAAATGAATGTCAGAGCCTGTAACAGCAATGTCATTAGTTCATCTGCTGTTTCACAATCTGAAAATATTGCATTGTGTATGTAATTAAAAAATGTTTTACAAGCAGGGATTAATGTAGCTCTTCTGGTTAAAGTAACAAACAGTGTATTTTATTGTAGTAATTAAATTTAAGATGTAACTAATGAAAATAACTATCAAAAATCTGAATGTAACAGAGGTGGTACCATTGGTAGGTAATTAGTAAGCCAAAGTAAAAGTACCTCTACTTACTACTGCTTTCGATGCACTGTCAAATTAAAGGTTCTTGTGGCTATGCCTTTATTTATGTGAAGGCATAGCCACAAGAACAGAGGCAATTAGCTAACGACAGCACTAGTGAGATAAGTATTGTTAAGGGTCAAAATGTATATAAAGGTGATGTAAAGGGTCAAAAGTTCTTAACACAAGATTATACACAGTCAGTGCACATAAAAAGCAAGTACAAAATATCGAAAATACCTCTCAAAACATCCCACAGTTTGTATGTAAAGTCATTACTAGACCCTTTCTTGTTCAGATCACTCATACACTTTTTGAGGGTAGTTGTATCTTCAGTGACGCATAAGCAACCACCAGTAGGGCATTCAGCAGTATATGTGTATATTTCAGTCTCATTTAAAAGGTCATTGAGTCGTTTGGTGTTATTGTACCTCTTCATACCGGGAATCAAATTTCTAGAAAGACAGTAATGTAAAATATTACAATAGACTTTTAATTTTTTTATTGAGAAATCTTATTTCAAAATAAGCTACGCTAAGGAGTATTATTATTTTGAAATTCAACAAACAATAAATATTGAGAATATATAAATGTTACAGTTCGAAAGGTTTATAATCTGTATGGTATATTTTTTACAACTTCAGCCATACTGAAATGTTTAATTATAACAGGATACCTTATATAGGCCTTTTCTAAATCAGCATTGCCTCCTGAAGCTGTCATGTCGACAAGAAGCTCATTGATATGGTATAGGGCACATACAGACTTCCATACACCATTGCAAGGACTCGCTAGATGACCTACAGTTAACTCTTGTTCCTGAAAAAAAAAAACAATATTATTATGAAATTCTGTCGAGAGTACAAACGACTGCCCACAGATAGAAGACATGCTTGTCAAAACTTTTTGTTCAACCTCTTTCTTACACATGTTTTTGGATTCAAACTTTGATTGATCTCTATCAAAACTTTTTTGATTCAACACACCCGTTTTTGTTTCAATGAATCATGTAAAGATACTTACAAAATTAACTTTACAACTGATAAATGGTGTGATTAATGTCTTAGAGCTCCACTCACACTGTAACTCAGTGAGACCTCCATGTGGTGTGTTTAACTGTTCCTCTATATTAAGTGTACCATAGGACATACCAGCTACTGTATATTTACAGTCTACTAATACATTTACCTGAAAGAATATATAAACACACATAAATAGAGATATACAACATGTATGAAACAGGGTAATATAGCACCATTATTGGAAAAAATAAGATAATGCAATGGAGAACAGTGTACTTTTATTCTGAGAAAGTGCAGGCAAACAAAATTCAGTATGTTTCACATATTAGGTTTATTCACCAACATATAGTTATTCAAACTTCTGTACAAGGCTTTCATTATATTATAAAAATGGGAAACAAGCCCAAGACTTTATTTCAAAAGCTATTTATTTATTTATAGCTGTTAAGCACCTAAAACATACCAAGTCTTCATCTATCTTTTCATGCGCAGCAAACTCAGCTATAAAATTATGAATATCCACTTCATCCAATACACAACTTCCTTCATAACAAACAATGCCTCTAGCAAACTCATCTTTATTTGATTGTACTGATAGAAGCAAAGGTTTGCCCTCTGTACTTGGATCACATAAAATCCACTGTGGTATAGAGTCCTCCTTAGATAATGTTGATTGACTTCTAGTATAAGAATTTGCAATTAATCTGTGGAATTTATAAATATATTTAAAAGGTAAATAAGGTCTGTGCAGCAATTTTAGTAAGCTTATAAAGATAAAAATCTATATTATATTGAAAAAAACATTTTACAACAAGGGTATTACTTGAACCGCTATCCACAGAGTTCATGCGCATCATTTATCCAGTGTATCATCAATAACATAAGATAAATAATAAAGTTTTCAAACTTACCTAGCTTTTTTAATGTCTATGGGAGCATGTGTAAACTCTTCCTTTCTCCATAGTTGAGGCTCATCAGTAGACATTGTTTCATCCAATGAAGTATGTAAACTTAAGTCCAGCTTAAGAGGAGAGCCGGTAAGATCAAATTCATCTGAAAATGTGGTAATATCTTATATACACTATGTTTATAAAAATGTAATTTAAAAAAGTACTTGGCAACCCTACTTACCTTCTTTGGTCTTAGTACCGTTTTTGTTGGTATCTGACAAATAAGGGAATTGTTTAGCCTAGAAAATGTTATAAAGTTAATGAACTATAGTTAGATGTATAATGCTTTTAACCGGCAATAATAACTTACACTAGCATAAACCATTACAATTTCATTATTATTTTTTGTATAAATTGATACATAGCTAGGACTAATCTGTGTTGCATTTGGTTTTGAGTAACTCTCTGTTGCTGGCTCGTTAATAGAACAAAAGCAGTCCATTGTGATATAAAAACTTTTTGGAACTATATGAATGATATTTCCAATTAAAATTTCAAAATACAACTTTCCGTTAAAGTTTTTAATTGGTATGTCAAAACAATATATAGGGACGTATAACTTGAGAAGTGTCATGTTAACTCAAATTCACTACAGACTATAAGTGAAAACAATACTTAACGGTATTAATATAGAATTTAAGAACATTAAATTTTGTACTAAATATTAAACTAACGTTGACACTATTTAATTGCCTTAAATATTTTTGTTTAGTAATTATAATGACATGTAAATTAACCCACGTATTACATACCAGTTTTGTATATGGCATAACAGATGGCGTGAAGCAAAAATGTATACGCAATCTTTATGTAGTGAAATCACTAAAGGAAATTATAATATTATAAATAAATAAGTTCAGAATAAAGAATTATATCCAGGGTGTTTGCTAGGAGCATTATTATGCCTTTTTAAACCTTGTTATTAAGATTACAAAAATAAAACACTCAATTTTATGAACAAGTAAAACATAGTTAGTATTTTTATAAAAAGATAAATAAATGGAAACTGTTTTTACTGTTTAGGCATAACATTATGATTGTTTTTCTATAACAAGCGATGGAACAGATAGTTATTACAGAATAAAATTTCTTTGCGCTTTCTTAACAATATAAACTCTATCGTTACCCAATTAATTTAAACGCTTCTACATTTGCATCTGTTTTAACCCTCCCTTCGTTATCGAGAAACGCTAACCTCAGATTCGTTTGAGCATAAAAACCTTTACAGATATGCGATTTATTTATTAGTCGTTTTACAGGTATCGCAGACATTTAACGCGAGGATTGTACAGGGTCGAATTTCTGCTACCAGCTCTTCGCGATCCGGTAATTCAAAGCAAAGCTGAGTTTTTACACAATAACTGTGGGAATAGATAATCATCTAAATCCCTATGAGTCGTTATTATAAATTTTATGCATTAACACCTACTCACCTAATATTATCCCTATGTTCATTATAAAATTGTTGAACGTCAGTATTAAAGTTAGGTATATACTACTATGTAAATAATTATATGTGGGAGATGTTGTAAATTTTCGTATTAGAAAACTTAAAGTTCGGCCCTGTTCCGCGTATAATCAGATTAATTAAAACGAGTCTTGATCAAGTGGGTGGGTTAGAGTATCAGAGCGTTACTATCTGCGCTCATTATAGGATTTCCTAGATAAATATGTGATTAGTTTAAATCTATTTTATCTGTGGATATCCTATGACGCGGTGTTTATATTCTGCACAGATGCGTCATTAGTTACTGTTACTGTCTATAGTAGTATAACCTAACTATTCTTGATAAGGCAAAAGTTGATTTTAAGACTACCTACTTTAGAAGTTCAACATTGTGGATGTTTTTTCTTTTTCAAAGCTCTTTCCTTCTTTATTTGATTGTAATGAGAAGTTTCCATAGACATTTAATTAAAGTACCGTACTGTAGAGATAAAAATTCACGTACAAAAGATAGAATGTTTGTTTGGTTTCCCCCCTTTTCCACTTCCATCATAAAATGTTTTATTAATTAGAAGTCTATCTGAATTAATCACTTTAAGACTGATTTATTCGAATCGATATCTGTTTTATCCAAGTATTAGTCGTGGACATAGGTAATGAGATTTGTTTGTTTGGAAACTCATTACGAGTTTCGTAAAATGCCACATCGAGTTTGGGAATACATGTCACCTCACTTATTTACATTTTACGCATAATAAGGAACGATTTTGTGATGAGTAGGATTTTTGATACCTTATTAAGTTTTTAACAAAGTTTGCAAAGATGTGTCTTTGAAGAGTGTAAAATCCCACGGCTATTTTCTGTATTCATTCGACTTATCGGTTTTATTTATTTAAAGAGAAGACCGTACTAATTTTTTTTATTTTTTATTACGATTTGAACCATAGATCACCTGTTCTTCCGGCAATGATGGGCTTAACTATTGAACCACGGAGGCGGCTGTTTTTATTTTTAATTATGTATCATTCATAAAATTTAGTCTAGCCTATAAAAACACTACGAATGCCAAACAATCATACAGACGGAAATGGCCATTAAATGAATTAAAATATCGTAAAAGATCATCAAATAAAAATATAGGAAGAAGATTGGATTAGTTTCAAAGAAACAATCGTTGACAATAAAGATAATTGCCGTTCATAAAAATATGGAATCCGTAAGTCCCATAACGACTGAACGGAAAGTGCCTAAATACTTATATTTAGATATATTCTTTAGTAAGAAGCCTAAATTAAACTTTTGAAAACTTTTCTTGATGTTATTATTCGTCTTATCACGAATAGTATTAAGACATATTTTTAAACTCAGTTTGTAAAATTAGGCTTTATATTCATTAAAAATCCATTTTAGGTTAAAAAATAACGACACTGGCAGGTTAGAACCGGCATCCACAGCGTGCTTGAACAACACCCTAGCCGTGCTTGAACCCACCACAATATTTCGTGTTGTTGCTTATTTGAGGTATTTGCAGGCTAAATGTTTCTTTCTTGCATACCAAAATACGAAGCAAAAATGACGCTTTATATCTAAAAATAATTTTTGTTTATTTTTAAGTAGGTAACTTAAATTTAATAGTTTTAAATGATGCTGGATAGCTAATTCAAAACATTTTACTATATCACTTACTTAAGAGAACTTTACCTATATAAAATTTATCGCACAAAATTATTTTAAAAGGAAAAGAGTAATTTCGCCCGAGGATACTCATTAGGTGGATCTGCAAATAGCATCTGTTACATTTGTTTAATGAAACACGAATCTATAGTGTATCCTATTTCAACGCTACAACAAAGGGGAAATAACATAAACACGATTTGCATGACGAAATTCGCTCAATTTTCAGAACAATTTGGGCCAGACTCATTAAGAAATTATTATTTAAATCTCGCTTCGCAAATCTGATTGAAACAATGCTTCAACGTATGAAAAATTAATCACTCTCATTCAATTTTGTTACCATAAAAGTTTCCAACGAAAATGACGCGTACCGTGAAACCTCTTTACGTAGGACCTTTGTGAAAGTTATTTTTTTAATTTCCGAGTTGGCGCTGAAGTGACGCTTGCGCGGCTCCGCCTTCCGCCCGCCCAACTGCTGGATATAAGGGCATGTTACAGCGGATCTGACGATAGAACTTGTTGCACTTTCGCGCTTTGCCGAACTTTTGAGATCTTAGTCGCGTCGGACGGTATCACTCGAGGTAAGTCAATATACATCAAATATTATATTTAAATAATCTTAATTTAATAATATAAAACATTTTATATGCACAGGGGAGCTTTTAAATTTAAAATGTATCTAAGATAGTAGCCGCACTTGTGACATTTTTAAAAATAAAAAAGGAAATTTTAATTTGTTAAAAATCTAAGCGAAAAGTGAAAACAAAAAAACACCTTATACTTAAAATAAAGATTCAGATTTAAATTGCAGAATAAAAGATTAAATTCAGATTTTATTTATAGACACTATTTGCAATCATGAATGTATACTTCAGAATACATTGTTAAAATCAGATAATATCTGTAACATTTAAATTTATAATTATTATCTAAGTATACTGTATTTTTGTGAATACTCTGTAGTCGTAGTTATTATTAGGCAAATTTTCTAAATAAAACAGCCTAGAATTAAATCAATCCAGTCAGCCAGTAATTCGAGGAATAAAATTTAATATGTTGCAACACAATTTACTCGTATCTCCAGCATCCTAACATTTTCATTCAAAATTGAATTGTATTCAATCAGTAGCTAATTTCAATCTTTCATTCTCATCTAGAATCAATTTTAAAAGACCCCTTGATATTTTTAGGCTTTATAAGTACTAATCGTGGAATTATAATTATAAATATATAAATTGGTATTTAAATGTATAATATTTTAAAAGCGTACATTGTTTTATTTTCAATGAAAACGCTGCTTTTATATACAGCAAATAACGATAAATCGTTTTAATAGAATACTATCATTCAATAAAATCACTGTATGATCTAGGATTAAGGTGAAAACTGAAAATTTTTCGATTGAAATTGAATCACATAGGCAGTCTACGCGGATATAGTAGGATCAACGATTTTTAATATTGACAAAGTAAATTGAGGCACGAATCAAATTCTATTATTTTATGTAAATGAAAACCGGTCGTGCATTTAATTTAATGTTGATGCCTTGAAAGTTTTTTACGTCGTCTATGGCATTTTTAAGATGATTTATTAATGCTGTGTATAATTTTAATCATGGATCAACAATTATTATTAACAAGTACATACTAAATCGTAGTTCTCGCGAGTAATACATTTTTAAAGAACACGTCTAAAGCCGTTAAATTTTATTTTTTATAAATATTGTTAGAAGAGTTGTCTTATTTGATATCAGTTATGACTTCGTGACGGAAAAACACTGAATACCGTATTAACGTAACACTTGTCTTTCTTTTACAATTGTATGAAATATCCATATGTTAGTACAGATTTGTATGATATTCCATAAACATATCTACTAAAATAAAAACTAAATATTTTCAACATAACAAGTAAGTTTTATGATTAGATGAGCTTGTACTTACTGAAAGACAAAGAAAATACATTTAAATATACATTAACTTATAGATTAGTCTAAAAATTTAATATAATGTAGAGACAAGTTATTCCATTGTTCTATTATATTTATAACGATTTATTCAGTAATTAAAACTACATTTTCCATACAACTTTATCATAAAACAGTGTTAGTTCCAACAATATGTAACCTATAGTGATAAAGAGCGTTTAAACTTTGTTATTAATGTAATTATGACGATTCGGACTTTTTATAGAGTAACATATAAATTATACTACTGTTTGTCTAATCATTGAAATATAAAGATGGCAGCAACGGTTCAATATAAAAAATTAAATGGTCCCAGAACAATTTAATCTTCGTCATGGCTTATGAGTCAAAGTTGTGTAAAATTGCGTTACGTTTCGAGATACATCATATTGTTTTGCTTTGAAAAGACGTGTGTTTACCCACTTGCTAGTACTAACAAAAATTGATAGAGGAGTACGTTGACAACCAATGACGTCACTTCTTACTGTTGCGAAAATGCATGACGTTATACAAAATCCGCCCTAAATTTATAAGATAAATTTCTAACCATTTCTATTAGAGAAAAATATCTCATAGCGTATTTATTGTGAATTATACTTTATAAGTAAAACGGTTAGACCGTCAATTATTGTGTAAGTTTTGACAATATGGCATTCCTAGCTATTTTTATAAAAGGTTATTTTCTTCGTCCTGTTTGAAGGTGGTGACTATACCTGATATAATCCTTTCCTTAAGTTAAGCAAATTTTTTAATTATTACATAAAATGTACAATACATTTTGATTCCAATATAATTAACTTGTGGATACTTGTTTGTAGAAACATTTAAAAATAATATTGAAGGTACGTCAGCTATAAGTATTACATATATATACTAGTCGCCAACTAGAGTAAGGTTACATTTGCGGTCAGTGAAATAAAGAATCAATCAAAAACCAACGTAATATAAATAGATCCCAATAAACTTATCGTTTACCTGTCCCCAAATCTCTTAGGGTCGAATGTATGACGATTTTTGCATTTCGATCAAAAGAAAATAGAGAATATACTCAATTGATGGACTTCTGCCCTCGGGGAGTCAGGATTTACTATTTTTGCAAATGGATTTGTCAAGATATTGGAGAATTGGCAGCAAGATATAATAGGAATTTTGGTATGTTAAAGAATGTAGGCGTTGAAATGACCTAACGTAAGGTTTCGAATTCAGTAGAAACATATTCAGGCGTTGAATATAATATAAAATAGAAAACAGATTATTAACTGTTGCCTCTCAATATTGGAAAGAGGATTGTATTTTTGAAGGTATGTTTATAATGAATAAACTCACTGTTGAGCGGATTTTAATAAAATCATAAATTTTCAGTTAGCTACGTTCATGCTCAGTAACATAGGATTTTTTTTTTTTGTGAACAAACAACTGTGCCGTTTCAAATAAATCGTTCACCGTTAGAAAGCTACATTCATCCCCAGTGACATAGCAAATTTTTAAGATATTATGTTCTAGAAAAGTCAGTTTTCGTTTAAAATGAGATTGACTAGTAGATAAAATACCCCTTCTATATCTTATTGTCATATCAAGATCTTCCTCAATCCGAATTATTATCGTGAAACCCTTTTTCAACAGACGTTAACGGTTCAACGGATTTCAATTAAATACGCCGAAATAGTCCTAATATTATACCATGATGATTATTGAAAAAATGTACTTAGTATCCGAAAGGTTTAGTTACCTTATTTATTACGAATAGTTCATTGCGTTGTTTATTATCAATCCCAGAATAGATTCTAATTATATACTTCCTACATCTTCCATATTCTATTACAATTATTATTTAATATTATATACAAGACGTCTGCACTTATGTTATCTAACGTAAACAAATCCACCATTGTTGATTTAGGCTTTTTAAAGTCCAAACAAATGTGCCTTGCAGAGTATGCAAGAATTTCTAAATTATGAACGCTGGAAAATGCTGTGACGCTCAAAGTAATTATTTCAAAGACACGAGCATTAACAGCTATTGTACTAGAACTTTGAGATTGTCGTAGATCTTTTGGGCTATTCTTTGCTAAATTAAAAATCTATAATGCTTTTGACCGACTTGTTCGTGTAATGGTAGCAACGTATAGCTAATAACGGGTCGTGCCTGTTGCTTACGCGAGTAAGACACATTTAAGTAAAACGCTTAAACGATTTAAAACGCGATATGTTAGTGAAACTTATTGGAAAAGCATTTTAACTGAGGCCCGACGTTTCGGATGCTTTGCCTGAGCGGTTGAGTCACCATGGTCACGGGGAGTTAAATGTTTTATTTAAACGGCTCGTGCGTTCGACTGGGTCAGGAACCAGCTACATGGCTGGAATATTTCACCTTTCATCGAGAGAATGATCTATTCATTCTCGTGGTCTATTCTCCTCTATGATAAAAAATACATGTTTTAATACCAAACTAATTTTTTACTTTGACGTCAGAGACATCCACCATCTTTAGTCTCCCCGTGACCACGGCTGCTGCAAAGCATCCGAAACGCCGGGCCGAAGTTAAAAATAATTTTCAAATAAGTTTAACTAATATATCGCGTTTTAAACCGTTAAAGTGTTTTATTTAAATGTGTACTACTCGCGTAAACTTTAGACAGTATCTAATTTAAAAAGATTTTTCTTTCTTTAAAAGTAATCTTAAAACCTGTTCCGGTGGATAGCGATTAAACTATAAGTATAAAATGACATAGATAACTTTTTCTATAGAGCGGAAGATAAACTAAACAAAAGATAGGAACTTAATTAATAATTATCCAGTCTTGTAGATTCTTCGGGATTATAAATAGATGCTATGGACGACATCAAGATTCCCCGAGATACAAAGCCGAGCAATTATAACCCTCTATGTTATAAAAATAGAAGCGAAATTTGTTTAATAATTATTAGTATTTTCAGGCGATTAACTATAACATCCTATTTATGAAAATCTAGTTTTCAAGTCTATTATGAAGATACGATGTTATTAATCAAATTGTTGACTCTTAATTGATAAACTTTGAAGATTCTTCAAGTTTGTTACGGAATATGAAAAAATACCAACAGTCTTAGAACTGAGTAATTTTAAAAGTGAAAAGAATATGAATCTTGAAGGGTGGTTTTTCATTTTCTCTATTTATAGAATTTCGTCAGTGAATTATAAAATACATTTGGAATTATATTTTAACGGGGATAGTAATGGCAACGATGTAATGTTTAAAATTTTACCTTTCCTAATTTAAGGTATAACTATTTTAAAATTCGAGGAAATGCAGATGACAGTCTTTAATTAAATTTTTATTAACTTTCTTTGTAAGTAATCTGTAACTTGTGTTCTTATATGTTACTATACGTACTTGACATCACAGTTTAACTAAAAATTTTAATAAAAGCGGAAACAGCACGTGTTCTTGGGCCTTATATGGCTATAAGTGAAACATATGTTTGTCTGTCCTCTGTCCTATATATATAATTGAGTTATGATTGATAGCAACACACAGTCATATAACATGCAATAATCCATACAGAGCAAAGCTTTATAACAAAACTGTATAAAGCTAATTGCTTCGACGTTTGATCGCGTAAAAACCTTTCCTAACATTGAAATCTCTCAATTGATTGAATTCTAAAGCCCGTCTGCTTTTGTATGGCTATATAAATAACTAGCTCGTTCTTGTCTAGACACAATGCTGAACAAGAGGTTCCTGTTCGCTCTAGCTGTGCTAGCAGCAGCTGCATTCGTCGAAGCACGTGAGGAAGGTCCCCACGATATGGCAGATGCACTACGCATGCTTCAGGAGTTGGACCGTTATTACACACAAGCTGCTAGACCCAGGTGAGAGATTAATTTGTCCCATTGAACCTTTCTGTGCTGTTTCGCGCTGAGATCTCAGAGTGTGGAGCTAATATTTTGATACGTTGTTTGAAAGTGAATTCGTTCGTTCTACGTATAGATTGCGGTATAGTGTTGGTATAAAACAGACTTATAATGAATATTGTTATATATATAACTATGTTTTATTGCTGAATTTTAAACAATATTCCTTATATAATGATGCCACGCCGCCAAGTTCTTCAAATACTACTGAATGTCAAAAAAAGAAAAAAAAGTGTTTAATTAATTAAATTATTGTAGTATAATTCTTCCTATATTTTCATCATAACATATATCTAAATAGATATAGTGTTTTTTTAAGTTTTAATATAATAACATGTAATTTAATGATTTGTGTAATGTGTTCACACTAGTAGTGTAAAATTATTTTTAGAAATGCATTACTAAATAGAATATCACGTCACCATATACTACATTACATTAAACTTAAAGTTTTTATTATGTAAATTATTAGCATTTTATAACATAAAGGCCTGTTAAATAAAAATGTGACTTAACTAACCGCGGCGCCGCCCTACACGATTACATTTTCTTTCCAACTTCATCATTTATTCAATATACACAGAAACGTCTCGAAAGAAGTATTAAAATTGAATTTTTAATTTATATAAATACAAGTTGAGGAATTCTAAGTACTTACCTAGCGCGATTTGAACATATTATAGGTATTAATGATTGAGAGTCTTCTTAAAATCAAAAACTGCCAAATAAAAAAACAAAAGAATCAAGATTGTAAAATTATAAAACACATAGCTTTGTTTACTCTCAGTTAATACATTCAGTGTTAATTATTATTTACGCGTAACGGAAGTTGAAACGCAGTCCGCAGTTTTAAGAATTTAACGGGCTATAGCATAGCAAAATATGGTATTACATTTTATATTTTCTTTTACTACTTATATGCCCTCGATATTAAAGACACAATTATCAAAAATAATCGATAAAAATTTCTTTAAGTTAAAGGAAACATTGCCTTTTTCTGTTTTAAAAGTTCCATTGTTTTAAACAATGTCATACCATAATTTATTATACCATGGAACAGGCAAAGTTTTATGATGAATTCACTTGCTATAGACTGTTTTATAACATTGTTACCAAATTACTTTTTTATTAAACTCTATAAACTCGGAATTAAATCTTTAAGGGTTTTCTTAATCAGAATCGAAACCGAAGTGTAGCACTGCCAGCGCACTAAAACTGGAGAATAAATAAAATAATATTTTTTATTTTCATAACTTTTATAAAATACATTGTAACAGCGATGTACTTGTAGGTGAAATGACGCCATAGCTATATTATATTTAGAATTACAGCTTCCTCGTCGCTTATGTAACTTTATCACTTTTTTCATAAATTCCCCGTTAAATACAAAATAATTTGACTAATTAAAACTTTATATCATTGTCTTTCGGGCTGAACAGCTGCAGTTGCATATGCTGAACGATGGCCGTGAAAACCTTACACAATTAATTAAAACTTTGTCGTTTTTTACGTTTAGCAATATTTTTAAATGATATTAAAATCTAATACGTTATTTTACGTAGCGTCTGAAGTTTACGAGAGCACTTTAACGCTTTACAATATATATTAGTTAAACTTATTTGAAAATTCTGTTAACTACGGCCCGAAGTTTCGGATACTTTGAAATATGTAAACCGTTAAAGTGTTTTATTTAAATGTGTACTACTCGCGTAAACTATAGACAGTATCCAATAATGTGTGTTAACATGTGGTTAAGCAAAGGCATCCTTCTCTTTAATCATAAGGACAAAGTAGTGGTTAGCGCGCTTGGTTCCAACTCCTAAACGTTTTCTCTGCAATTCCATTTACAGTCCTCGTGGGAGTGACCACGTATTCGGAACGCGTTGTAATTTGCCCCCTGACATGCCCTCATCTTGTCTTTCAGTTCGCTCGGTGAGATGATGACGTCATTACAAACGTATGTAGTTTTAACCTGACCGCTTTGCGGCTTAATTCTGTTTGAAATTTCCCGAGAAATATAAGCGCTATTACGCACTGTCGACTAGTCGCAGCGATTGTGAGTTACTATGGTTTAAATAGGGTACTTACACCACTATCTATACTAATATAAAAAGTTGTGGAGTCTTTTTGTTTCTTTGTATGTTTGAACACTCTAAGCTAAGGGACTACGGGTTCGAATTGAAATTTTTTTTTTGTGTTGTTTAGAGCATTTATCGAGGAAGGCTTAGGCTATTAAAAATCACCATGTGACTAATACAAGCGAAGGTTCAGCGAGAAATGTGAAAAAAATATTAATTCTTATGGGTTTCCTAGGCGTACGCTGCAAAATGGTGCAAAAAAGTCACTATATGTCTATCTTTTAAGATTAACTTGCGAGAACAACGGGACGCGACCGACGTCGTTGGTAACAGTCGAAGTTTATAAAGATAAAGAGGAGGTTTGCAAAAACAAATTTGGATGCCCAAAATATTCTTGGCGGACGGAGTCGCTGACACAGCTAGTATATATATATATATACTGGTTCGATCAATTATTATTGGCAATCAATATTGCCATAATTCATCAATTGTTAAAGCTTCTTACTTTAAAAATAAAAGGAAGCCGAAGCAATTTCACTTGGACATTATAAGTCACAAAGGTAGAACCTTCTTTGTTGCAGAATTACGTAAGTACTGCAAAAATAACAGCAGATACGTCAAAGGTACTATAATGCTCTTTGTTCAAGGTTAGGTTTAATAAATACAACAGGATTATTTTAATGAAATTTGATATATGTTTAATGCAGTATGAGTATCGAATGGACGTTAACTGAGATACATCAATCAACTAACGACGTTTATCTACTAGACTCATCAGAAAGTTCCTTATCTCCTAAGTGCGATTGTATTTAAATCTAAAACTAGTGTTTTGTGGACTAGTAATTACATTTTGCACATGTTTTGGTTAGAGCAACAGCACGGAACCCTGACGATGCCGGTTCAAGTCTTACCCGAGTCCTAAATTTTACAATTCATCTTCGATTTTGAATTTATATTTACATATAATGTTTCTAGTAAAACATTTTAAGCGAGATGGATTCCCGAAGAGCCTTTCTTCATTGATAGCTTGTTAAGGAAAAATGCTTTTATAACACCGTTGCTATATTGGTATGTTTCTTTTATTTTGCAAGTGCATAATATTGTTAAAAAACTTTTAACTCTAGCAAGTTCGAACAAAAGCGGAGAGAAGCAACTCGAGACCGATAAAAACACTTTTTAATGTTTGTTAGCCAGTTGTTCCCCTGGGCCAAATTAGATCGATAAAGTTTTTCATTAAACATATGTGTTGTAACTTTAAACATTCTTAAGTTTTGTAATAACAAGCAGGGAAGTCTTTTCGCTTCTTTTATAAACTGTACAAAGCTTGTTCTTTGTGAAGTGCAATATAACTTTCAAAGGTTTAGAATGGAATTTAAACTTTTTGTAATGAAAACAATAGATCAGATTTAGGTTTATAAGAAATTTTTTAATTATTTATAATATAATATTTATATCGTATATTTTATTAATTATAAGCATCGATGTAACAAATCATTAATTAAATAATGACTTAGTCTCTTTTGAAATAAAGACATCGCTAACACAACCAAAATAAAACGTTAATAGAAAACGTGCAAGGTGGTCGAATCGAAATATATAATCATTAAAATACAATATACAAAGCTTTCATTGCATTTGTAATGGAGCTAAATTCAGTTATATCCAGTAGAAATGTATCAATATTGTATTGTATTTATTTAAACAGAATACGTCTCAGCCCCACATCACGTCTTTGATCTACGAAACAATTTTAATCTAACAGATACAATTTAAAGCAGTTGGGACAATCTTGACGAACTTCTTCGAGTGATCAAAATTACCTTCCTTAACAACTATATTGCAATCCTAACATATCGACACACGTTACTGTAATATATATTTCCAAACGACAAGGGACATTTATTGATTAAACTTTTTGTATATTATGTCAAAAAAATTGTTGCTTTAGGTAAAATACCATTTCCCATATGTACAGAGGCAGACACATATAATTGTCCATGTTACTATCCATTATATTTGTAGTACCTAATAGAGAAGATCTCTATTTTTTCCGGAGATTAAAATTTAAACCCACTTGCGCCGATTGATCGTTGAATGAATCGCTTTTAACAAGATAAAATTTATTGTTAAGTCAATTTTGTGCAAAAAAACTTGGGCATTAATGTAAGAGAAAATGGCGTTTATAAATTTTAACACCTAAAAGTATACTATAGCCGTGACAATTATAAGGTTTAACTTATGACGGTAGAATAAAAATGTCCAGCGCACTTTGTGTTCTTTATTAGTTTAAGAGGTTCTATTTGAGTGTTCTCGCGCAAGCACTTACACTATTTTAATGTCATTCTATGCTCACAATTATTTATTACGAAGACTGTGCGGACTATGTGGAGATTTGCTACTTCTGACGCTAATATGGTTTTCAGACAATCGCAGACTAAATATATAAGTTTCATATAGTTACAATAGATTTTAAGTAAGGCGCAACTTAAAATTTTTTAAATGAAATAAAAATTATAGTAATACTTAATATTTCAGTTCCGGCGGTCACTATTAAGAAAACTAAAACTGGAAATAATCTGAAATGCGCACTTCTCGAATTAATTTACAACGTCACTGTGCCCTAAAATCAATCATAGAATGGACACAAATGTTTCCGCCCCATGCCCCACAAACGGGTCAGGGAAATTATAAATTCATAGAAGTGCCTTCAAAAATTATTTTGTATTATATTAGTTTGTTAGATCGTAATAATGGAAGCTTGTTGTCGCTCTATATTCGTGTGAGACGTTAGTACATTATTGTCGCGGTGTAACTGTATTTTAAAATGTAACGCACGTTACAATTGAGGCCCAAGTCCAAAAGAAATAGCGGGTACAGCAT